TATTTATTTATATACTTTTCGGGGGCATCTTGTTGCGTCTCTACTTTTGTCTGAGGCGGCCGCTCGCAGTGCGAACGAGCGGCGCAAATTGGCAGGCGCGCACAAGAGTGATTTACCTTTTCCTTTTTGCTGCACGTGTAATTACGAGAGAGCCGCTCGGCTGCTGATGGTCCACAATTACCGTGAGGTCCTTATTTAATAGGAGTCAATTACAGCAGCCGCCGCAAAATATTATTTGCGCGCCGCCGTCTCGTTGGCCGGTCGGGCGGATAATTTGGCAGAGCAGCGTGTCATTTTCTTTTGCCGAAACTGGGGAAAATCGTTTATGGCCGCTTTTTCGTAGTTTTCAACTCGCTTCTTTAAAGTCACGAACATCCTATCTTAAAGTCCCCCCTGAAAGAATTTAAACTTCTTGTTTCTTAAAATACTAAAAGGAAATTGAAGTAAATTTTAACTTTTTATATTAAAAAAAAAATTAGTCAAAATATCTTTAATATTACTAAATTTTATATTTATACTAATTGAAAAAAACCTCCAAAATTTTTTTATGAACGTATCTAATATAAATAATCTAGTCAATACGTCTCTTTAAATTCATTGACATAAACAAAATTTTGAGTGGTTTGAGTCTTTATTTTATTGTTGTCCTATGAAGTTAAAAAGAATTAATGAATTATTCTTAATGCAACCCCTGTCTGTATTCTTACAATTTGTTTTTTTATTTTAAATTCTATGAAATTTTTCCTTTTTGATGAAATTATAACGATGCTATATATGAATTATCTTATGACTGATTTATTGTAAATTTCATTTTAATTTGAAAAATTCTCAAGTTTGTCTGTTTTGTAAACTTTCATTAAAATCCTTTATTGGAACTTGAAGCTTTAAATAAAAATAAGTACATAATTATTTTTGTGATTGATATAAGCGCTGAATAATTTCTTAAGTTGATCTAACTAATAATAAGCAATATTAGAAGATTTTATTTAGAAAAATATGCAATTTGATAGACATTGGTGTCACACAGGTTGCATTATTTACAATTCCTTTCAGGCATCTCCTGAAAATCTAGACAGACCCAACAAGTCCAGAGACGTCGGTCTACCGTCTCTAGTCGTCTTTGTTCTTTTCTTGCGAGATTTTCTGTAACGCATTGATTTTCCCAGTTTGCCTCAAAACGCTCTGCTGACCTTTGTCTATCTCAAGCATAGAAACTACTTCTCCTTGGGTGGGAGTATTTTTTTTTATTCTCAACTGGAAAAAAATCACACATATTTCCCATTATAGTACAAGTGGCTTTCACGCTCGGTTGGCGCTCCAGCCTCTCAGTTCATTATTTATTGGCCGCGCTCAAAATCCGAGCGGCGCCTGCCTTGAGCTCTCTAGAGACTCTTTTCTTCCGAGAAAAAAAATGAATGTGGCGCCTGTGTCTGCCACGCGCGTAAGCGTGCAAAACACTCGTCTCTCCTGGCCAGGTATTGTTAGCCCAAAAAGAGAAACTCACCCCCTCGGGAGCGAGACGAATTCCTCCCTGTTTTCCTGCTCGCTCAAGACGAGTTCAAAAATAATGTATACAACTGGACGCGAGATTCTCTATTCTCGGAAGAAATAAATAGATGTGAATGTGAAAAGAGCGGCCGCTCCTTTTCAAAGGAAATGATGCATGGCACCTAATAAGGGTTAATAGCGGCAGGTTGTTTTCGTTTGAGCGCAGAGGCGGTAATTACAGGGCCACTTCGCGCCCTCGCTTTTCTATTAAAAATAAGGTCGGCCTCAAATTCTCACTTTAAATTCATTGATTCTCGTCCAAATAACATAGAGCCATCTGACCACGATTGTTTCTGACCGTTTTTATTGCCAGCCCGGCCGAAATTTGGCGCCGCGGACGAGAAACGTGTCTCACGTTTCCCCGCTTCGGTGCCTATTAGGGGGAATAAATCTGGTCCGGAGGTTTGTAATTGGACGGAAATTAACAAACCTGTTATTATTTTAATTGGAAACAGATGACTTTTGATTGAATTTTAGCACCTTTGGTTTTTTAGACTTTCTTAGAACATTGATTAAATTAAATTGGTTTTTATTGTAAAACAGAATAATATACAATTCTCTCATTTTCCTAACTTCTCCCGTTGAAGGCGTATTTGTTTAAAAAAAATTAGTGTGAGAAGTATCGGAATTCAAATCTTGAGGAAATTTATACATTATTTCAAGAAGGGCCCCAATGGAGTAGGCAATTAGTTATTATTAAACAAATTAACATTGTTTTAATGCAAAGGACAATCTAAATATAAAAAGATTCCAAAAAAGTCTAAATTGGTCAAAACGTTGCATGAGCGTATAAATATTTTAGATCAAAATAATCTATTTAAACTAGCTATAATTTAAAAATAAAAGAAAATTAGATATAACGTAAACAACATAAATACTTTATTTTAAATTGAATTATAAAGAAATATTAATTTTTTACGTGCATTTATTACAAATTTTTTAATACGAACATATATTACTTGGGTTTAAAACGCATCAATTCATTGAAAAGCAAATCGATACCTAAATGATAATATTTCACTGATATGGTGATTTATTTCCAAGTCAGCTGCAGGACAATCAATAAAACGCACCGTGACTTATATTTATTGAATAAACGAACAACACACATTTTTCCGCCTAAAAGCTTCCCTACAGCGAAAAGGCAGGCAGGATTAAAGTCTTTTTAGCGACCAATATATTTCACGGCCAACGACAAAAAAGTGAAGAGCGTGTCGAATTAGCACGGTGGTCTTTCGGCGTATTATCGTCACTTCTCCTTTATGAAAGTGCTGTGCCTACGCCGCCTGAAGAAAGATCGCGGATGCAATTCCATGTTCGGCTTACATGTAGGTTGCATTCAGATCTGCAAGACATCTGCGACCCTTTTTGCATTTGGCCGAGGCGCGAGCCGCACAAAAAGCAACCGATCGTGACAATGAAGTACGTGGAAGAGCAGCACGGCAGTTTAAAGTGCTGTGATCTGTTTGCCAGTCAAGTCAGGCGGAAGAATTTTGTTAAAAGGCATCTCTCCTTGGCTGACAGAAAAACGTATCTCCAGGTGTTAGGACTATTCAAAAATTGTAGCATAAAATAAAATTTATTGTGAAATATTAAAATTTAGTCCCTGTACTAAAGTCAGAGAAGACGATTTTACTTTTGAATCTTTTATGAAAATTTTAATTTAATGAAATTTCAGGTATTCTAAAATTCATTGAATTGTTTTGAAATTTATGAGAAATGTTATAAAATTCAATGTTTTAGAATTAAGAGATGACTTTTTACCCTAAACACAAGCACACAAAAAATCGTAAAACGTACATATTCAGAAAATTGTTTGATTCAATAATATTAATGAAAGTTGTCATTTCGGAAGGCGAAATATTTGAATGAAAAATAACCCTATTTCAAATTTCAACTAAAATAAAAAATAAAATTAAAGGACAAGCCGAAGTTTCAAAATATGCTATAAATTATGAGATAATAAATGTATGATGTGAGGCAAAAATATTTTTCTTTTTCAATACAGCTTTTTTAATTTTATTATTAGTTTGATCATCATTTCGAAGCGCCCTAGTTTTTTCAGAGCACAATTGAATTCTGCCACTTTTTCTCCACTGCTCCGACTTGGACTTTTCCTTCAAAAGAAGAGTCTTTGAGATTAGAAAAAAAATGAGTCCCTTTCGATGTTTGCTAGGCTTGTGAGGGTGGCAGAGCAAACAAGTTCAGACTCGTCTCTCTACCGAGAGCACACCTTTTCTTTGTTGCATTCCATGATTTAATGGGATATTGTTCACAGCTTCTTCTCGACCCACACGGTAGCTCCAAGGAAAGACCAGCAATTTGGAAATTTCATTATCGCCCTGAAAAGCTTGGTCTAATATAATTCATAAATGGAAAAAACCTATTTGCACTTGTTTAGGACCGTAATGTGAAAATTCTTTAGAAAAAATTCTACTAAAAACTGTTAATTTTAAGGTTCAATGTGATGAAAATAGAAAATTAGTTTTGCAATGTTTAAGAAAAAACTTTTAAATATAGGGGGAAATAGCAGAGGCGTTATTTTCAGCATCTCATTATCGAAAAACAGGTGTAAGGCCAGTGTAATGTACTTAAATTGTCAGTCGGCGCTTATTACATGCTCATTTGCAACATGGTTTGAAGAACGGCCGCGCTTCTTCTCGCCATCCGTGTTTTACTATAATTGGCACTTGCGGTGCAAATTTGCCAGCCAAGTGCCTGTAATCACCGCGAATTCATATTTTATAACACACACGTTCAATAATAATCAGCACCTTTTGAACAAGGGGACGCCGTTTTTCAGCACCTATGGCTCTCTCAAACACAATCGTGTCATGATTGCAATTAGGGGTTTGACGTGTGAGAGAGACCTTGAGTGCTGCCGAATATCGCAATTATGCTATTTTGAGTGACGAGCAAAAACGGGTAGGGGAGAAGAGAAAAATCAATTGCGAGGCAATTCGATTTTTAAAGATTTTTTTGTTAAATCTTTGCACCATAATTACACCTGCACCATGGAACACATCAGTGGTAATATTTATTTTGGCACAAAGAGTAAAAAAAAACAAAATAAAAAAAGTGAAAAATTAATTGATTTTCAAAAAAAGTTCTCATCAGTTTTCATTTTAAGAATGACTTACTTTTTACTCTTTGATAGGACCTAAAAAATTATAGAGATTTAAACTTAATATTGATATAGCTAAATCCAGCTAAATCATGGGAATAGTTCATATTTATTAAAATTTGCAATATTTGTAAGCAGCGTAATTGCTTTTAGTGAACAATAATTTATAATTTTTTAACAATAACAAATAATAAGAAAAAATAGCACGTGTGAAATAAAATTATTTTATGTATTAAAATACTTTAAAAAATCATGAATGAACTTTTTATACAATTATTTAAATAAAATAAGTTTTTAAAAGTGATAAATTTTTTGGGATTTAATTACATAATTATATAAATTTTAAACAAATTTCTAAACTTACTTAAATACTTTTTTTAAATGAAACTCGTGCTGCCATGTAATTGTCAAAACCATAGCGGATTTGCAACGTTCAAAAAGCGATTCACGTTTCAAAGTAAAAAAGTGCGCAACAGCGAGGGCATTAGCAAAAGGAACTAAAGAGCATACACATAAAAATGTCAATCGAAAAGACCCATTAATCAAACTGCGCAAACAAAACTCCAATAATTGGTCTCCTCTAATTCGCATTCAAAGTGTCCAATGACACGTGAAAAGCGAGTGAAGCCCCTGGTTATAAAATCGCACCCTTTTCCGCCAAAAGCTGAACGCATTGAATGGAAAAAAAAAATGCTGAGTCAAAATTGTATATTTCTCCGTCTGGGTTTATTTAAAACCAATAAAGTGTGCAACCCTTTGGTTGAATCGGGGGAAATGCTGCCGACTCACTCTGTTGGTGGCACGCAAAAGGCGATCCCTTTCAATGACACAATAATGTGCATTACACCTGCAGTAGTTCAGAAATGCGGGGGGTTGCCCATCGAGGCGTGCAACAATCGAGCTTCTGGAAAGAAAAAGGTATGAGTCAGCGAAAGGGTGAAAATAATCTCGGCACCCCACGTGAGATTTTCCTCTCAGAGAAAAGTCATCGCGACTATCAATTAAACGAAAAAGGCCCCGTTCGCTCTGTCGAGGGGTGCCGAATTTCATTGTGGATTTTTTATGGTTTTTGGTGAGAAAAGACCGGAATCAAACGATTTCCGACAATCATTAAGTTTTGTAACAGGAAGGCGTTTTTGTGTGAAGTGCCAAAATATTGATTTCTGAAGAAAAAAATGCATGTGAGAAAAGGTGCACTTTTTATATATAAACATTTTAGCTTTGCTTGAGCGAGTTTTATGTATTTTGACGATATGTTATACTAAAATTTTATTTTTTTGAGAGAGGAGAAAAGGATGGGGGAAGGGACACGCATTTTCAGACCTTTCAAGCGAGAAGACGCTTCTCATATTATCAAACTAATGTGTTTTGTTAATAGCTCCATTATTGTACACCGAGGCTGTTTTACATTCCACAATAAATTACAGGGTGCCACAAATCTTGTCCATGGGTGGTGCGTGCCGCGTTCTTTTTCCTATCTCTCGGCAGAAAAGGTGCAGTTTGTCACACCAGCGGGAGAGAGACGCGCTCTGGAAAAAGATTTTTATTTTTATTAGCAATTAGAAGAGAGATACGTTGTATTGAACAATAACAATAAATCTGGGTGGTTCTGCCTTCTATAGAGTGGCGGCGAGGCACGGAAAGTCCCTGAAAAGGTCCTACTTTATGTTGCTCCAGCTGAGCAGATAAATTTGAATTGGTTTCATATTCAAATTGGACTTGACGATAAAAGCGATTAAATGTTTATTTGGGCCGAGCCTCGTCTGATAAAACAAATATAACCGAATTTATAATGTTAATTGATCCACTAAATCTTTGCATCCTCCCACCGTAGCTAGCGCAACATGTAAAATTTTTTTGTTTCAAAATAAAATTAAAAATGTTAAATTATTATAATTTTTTTTCAGATATAGTAATTTCTTTTAATAACACTAATTTATTATAAATTATTATTTATTAATTTAGTTATTAATATTCAATATTTTTCGTATTATTATTAATATAAGAAAATTTTACATTTATGCACGCAGAAAATTTTTGTCCGACCTAACTACTAGTCTGTCCGTTTCAAACTGCTAAAAAATGACTTATGAAAAAAAGCGGTTACTCTGTCTGTATTGAGAATCGGAAAATGTTTACGCCGAAAAACATACGAGATAGGAGACAGCGCTCGGAAGCTCTGTACGCTTTCAACTCTCCTATTTTGTCCGAGTTGGGTTGCCTGGATTAAATGAGAGGAGAACGCAACGCGCTTACGACCCAACACAGACAAATTGTCCGACTTCACTATTCTGTTCCATTCGTTTATTATTTCTTGCTCTTTGCGTTTTCTTAATTGTATATATGGTACAAGTAATAATGCATGGATAATTTCAGTATAGAAATATTTATTTAACACAAAAATTCACAAAGTACAAAATAACACAAGAAAATAGCAAAATACAAGTAACAAACTGCAAAAGTTGTTGAAATTAAGTTTTGATATGCATATTTGAAAGAGAAAATAACACAGCACTTTTGAGACAATTATCAATAAAAAAATTGCTTTAGAGGTATGGAAAAATCAAGCATTTGAAAACGACAACCACAGAAAATTTTGCATCACACATTGATTTAAAAAAATGTAAATGTATTATTATTTTTTTACTGAATAAATGAAACCGGATTGCCGGAACAGTACTACTTAACGTTCTGAGGAAAAGTTCATCTTCTTGCACTCGCGCTTTGCCAGAGATGTGCCCAAGCTATAGAGATGATTTTGATTGCTTGATTTTCTCAGATTTCATGTCAAACTCTAGTGGTTTTTTCTGGTAGTAATTGTAGTAAATATCCACGGTGAAGCCAAGCAGCTCTTTCTGAAACAATGCATTCCTCACGTTAAAATTTTTGCTTTGAAGTTTGAAGGAAAGAAAATTATAATATATAATATTCTAAATTTATTGAAAACAAAATTAAAATAAAATAAAACGGAGAGGAAAATTTGAAAAGTATTACCTGGCAGTTGATGTTCATTTCTAGTTCTTGTATAATATAACTTGCACCAGGAAACGTATTTTCATTTTGCGAGCGTCACAGTTGAGGCCAGAACGTGGAAATTTTCTGCAAGTTAGAAAGTCCAAATTATTTCAACATACATTTTTTATATTCATTTTACTAAATTTCTTACCAATTATAGAAGTTTTTCGTTGAGTTTTCAATTTTTCTCTCCGCAACACAGATCTTTCCTTATGAAGAGAGCTCTCTCGACTGACGCTGAAGTGACCGTTGGTGTTTTCAAACCTGAGAAATGCCTGGGATATCGAAAATTATCGAAAATCCCCAGACCCTGAGTGCTTGCCTGTCGCCAAAACCTCCCCCCGAAAGGCTATCCTTTGTTCTCGAGAAGCGCGGTTACAAGTTTCTCGGATAGCCTGTCCGTTTCCAACTCGGACATTCTAGCAGTTTTGAAATTGGCTGCAGTAGCAGCGCAAAGCCGTACATTGTATCGGATCTTCAAGCGTTTGGAAAAATCTGTCCGACTGAAACGGACAGAGCATACGTTTTGTTTTTAGAAGTTCTAAAACTACAGTTTTATCTGACCAAATCGTACAGACTAGTAGAGACATCGGATAAAATTCGTCCAGACGTTTTCAGTCGGACAAAAAATTTCTGCGTGTGCTCTCAGATAAAACTTAAATTATTTACCAGAAATTATGTTTCATAAAAAATGCTTCTCTGTTATTGTTATATTTAATTGTAAAACTTGCAACTTCCTGGTTATTCTGTGTCTGAACTTTCTTTATTAATATTTGATCATTTTCATAATTCGCTGCAAACAGCATAAAATAAAAGAATCAATGCAATACTCCTTTTACTTCTGATTGAAATTTGATTAATAATCATGAATGATTGAAGAACATGCTGAAAATTAGTGTTTAATTGATTATGGCAATAAATTTAAGATGGTGCGTTTCCTATTCAAAAATATTTCTTATAATGAGGTATTCAATAACTCATGCTAAACATATTCAAATTTTTTTGTCATGCTAATAAGACCCTTCATTATGCCCCGTTGCAAATTATGACATGCTGCAACAAAGAAATCAAATTTAGCTCTTGCATTATTACTCTTTTAATCATGCTCTTTTCACAGACTCTGTTTTTCTTTTATACATGCGTCTCAATCACGCAACCTCATTACACGATTGTGTCGTTAATACACGAAGCAGACGTAATTTTTCAATCACAATATATATTAATGCAGTGCAAAAAGCGTTTAAAATAACACCGCGGTGACTCAGCGCCTTTTTGGCAAAATAAATGAGTTTCTATCCCCCTGCTCTTTTTGTGTTGAGAGAGACACGCCACACAATTTACTCCATACCATAAGCGACAAGATCTTTTCACTCTCTATACCTTTGCGCAGCATCTGCCTTATATAAACTTCTTGTGAGAAAAATATTTGCTCTTTTGGAAACCAGTTTTCGGCTTCAAAAGGCTCGCGAAATTATTCATGGCCAATTTTTCTCAACGCCGACAGAAATTAAGTCGAGCTCATTATTAAATATCAGGTTTCTGATGGCGAGGGGAGGAATAGGGGACAGGGTGTAGCAAATGGGCGTAGAAATGCATTTGGCGATGCTCTTGACGCTTTTCAAAAAAATTCAAAAGCTCAAATCTATTTGAATCGGAGATGAATGAGAGCTGGTGCAATGCAGGTGCGTCGTTTATAAACTTTTACCGACTCTCGCTTTAACTAACCAAGTGTATTTTAATATTATGAACTTGCATTAGAGTGAAAAAATAAATTTGAGTGAATTATTGAAGGATATTTAGATTTGCTTAAATTTCAATTTTTATTTTTATTTTTTTTATATGGAAAAAATTTCAAGTCAAGTCATTCGTTGTATTTCTTAATTATTTAACTCAAATTACTTACAAATTAATTGAAATTATTGTTTATAATAATTAAATTTAACAAAAATAAATTGTAAATATAAATTCAATAAAATAATGGAACATGTTTTCCAATCAGCTAAATATCTAGAGTGTAATAAAGAAGCCATGTGTGCTACCCGTAATGAAATTTTACTTTGAAAGAAGAGCCAAGATCTCTCCATTGAGACAAGTGCAGAAAAACACATTACCGCACTCACCAAGATTTATACTTTTCAACTGGAAATTGATAGCGTACAAGTTCTTTTAATTAATGATCACGCTTCTCCTTATTACGGCAGCCTCGTTTTCCCCCGGTGACTTTGGGTGCAGTATTGTTGCAGAGAGAAAAGAAGCTCGTTTAAGATTCATTGCCCCGCGAGGCAAGACACGTGAAAACATCTCGGCAACAGCAGCGTCGAGATGTGTGTCGCGCCGCGTTATTTCACTTACCCGCAGTTAAAACGCAAAAGCCGTAAATTATATCGTCGTCGTGCAGCATATGGTGAAATATTCCTTTCCCCGTGATGTTTCTTGCGGCCGGAGGAGCGGTAGTTGCTTCTTTCTGCCGAAAAAATATACACACATTAACTGGCGATCATTAATCGGTACATTAATCAGCGGAGAGATTCATCGTCGTTTATTTCTCACTGCGTGTTTTCCGTTTTCTCTCACACTTCACTTATATTTAAGTTCTGTGTGCATGCAACGTGTACTTTCATTCACTCAATAAAACCATTTTCATTCATTGATTGAGTGTCATGTTCTGTAGAGGCCGTCAGAAAGTTAAGAAAGTTGAATGACTGAAAGTGCCAGAAAGAGAGCAGCCAAGAAAATATAAGAGTAAAAAATCAATGGCAAACAACAAAATATACTCTATATAGAGGACTATAAAATAATAATAATAAAAAAATATATAATAACAAGGATAGATTTTTTGAGAGCGCTAAATCAATTTGTTATTTAATGATAAAATCCAAACAAAGCATATATTTATTTTTTTTCTAATAATAAAATCGTTTAAATTTATTTTTTGGTTATAATTATACAATTAATTTTTAAATTCATTATGACTCAAATTTCTAATAATTCAAGCTCAAAACACCGCAAATTTGATTTATCTAGTGTTAATAGAAAATATTAAATATTTAAAATATTTTTTTTATATAAATTTTTAGTATCAGTTAAATCCATCTAAATATGGCAACTTTCTTAATTATAAAATTTATTTACTTGCCTGAATGGAGTGCGTGTTATGGAAAATAAGTAAATATTGACTGAATTGTAAACTGCAGTCATTCAAAATTTCAACTTGCAATGTTGCACTCTTGAAAATAAAATATTAATAAATATTATCTTGCGGACAGCAAATTAAAAATTGTATGCTCATAGTCTGCAATAAAGCTGACAGGAATGCAAACCATAATCATTCTTAAATGTCTTATTAAAAAATATTAAATACAAAGTTCTAATGGATACAGAATACAATTTTTTTTCTCAAAAGTAAGCAAATTGTTTTTCCAGTATATTTTAAATCTTTGAAAATCCCTAGCGTTGAATTGTATAAAAGTTTCAATTATATTCAATTCAAATCCTTTCCAACCTTTTTATAATTCTATCAAGCGATTTGTGCTTGACGACGCACATCAATTATGATTTGGAACTGAAAGGAGCGTGGATTGATGCTGCTGCATCATCATCTTTTGATCCAGAAACGTCAGTTAAAATATTCCGGCGGTGCACGCTCTTGAATAAGAAAACCAAATCAGAATAATAGGCATTGTCGTCAATGTATGCGTGGAAAAAATTATATTAACCACTCACCTGCGATGAAAAAGGGTTGCACAGCCATTTAGGCGAGTCACCCTGCAAGAATGCCGTGCGTGTAACGAAGGGAGATGAATAATGGACGAAAATTATCGTTACAATCGCTGCTTCTTCACTATTCATGCGCGGAGAGTTTTTTTCCTGAACTCACAATTGTGCGGTGCAGCTCGCGGGAATGAGAAAAGCCGACGATTTATATTTATGCAGACGACGAGACACGTCGAGCGTTTATAAATAATGGAATTAATGCACGCGCAAGCGAGAAATGAGCAGCGCTTGTGTAAACATATTCAAATTAGCCGCTCGGCGCGCAGGTAAATGTTTTCATCCCGTTTGTTTTGACAGCGCCTTTTTAGCTCAAGCGCTGTTTAATATTCCTCTCGGCTGCAGTGTGACTCGAGAGTTTTCCGTTCCAAATTAGGGAAGATATTTTTTAATCTCCATTAATCATGTCTCATGTTTTAATCAAGTCTTGTGAAATAATTAAAGATTTTATACTAATCTTTATCAAAACAAATTTAAGTTAAAAGAATATTATGGTTTTTTTTAACAAAAAGAGCAGACTTATAAATTGAGATAGATCACGCGTAAAAAAGGAAAATAAAAACAGCATATAGATTACAGAGGAATCCATATCAAGGGAAAGATAATAAAATGAATTTTAAATTTTTATTTAAACAGTTTCTGGAATAAAAACAAACTTTTTATCCAGGCAGATAAACTTAATTCGCTTAATTCTATATCATAAGAAATTCTGCATAATTATGTAAAAAACAGAAGCAAAAAATGTGAGGTGGTCTTTGTTCTCGTTAAACAGAATTAAAACTTTAAGTCTACGTTCTTCAATTTAATTCTTACAACGAAGAAAATGTTTTAAACTTCAAAAATAAGTTGAATTTTGACGTCCAATTTTTGAATTATACATAAATATTTACATAAAAAAAAATATAATGATCCTTTTGCTAATTTTTGTTCTTTTTTACTCATAAAATGGGTCACAATGCCTTATTTTTTCTAACAATTTATTTTCTGTTATAAAATGTAGCAAAATTATTTACTGATTAATACGATTAAAAATTGAAGCAAAAAAGGCTCTAGATTCTTCTTGCCTTTAAAAAAATTCAATTCAATCTGATCAAGAGCCGGTGAATCGAAAGTACAGTTTTGGCATTTAAGGTGCGCAAATCTTTTTAGCGGCGGTGCCTTGTTGGAATGCACATGATTTATATTTTCCAAACGGTCCATCACAATAATGTCATCATGCCGCTGATCCGCGTGCAGCAGATTTGTGAGGAAGATCATCACTGGAGATAAGAAAAAGAAAGGAAGAGACGAGCCATGAAAGGGAACAAAAGCTTGGGAAAATGCTGCGTGTGCCTGATGCTCGCTACGATGGTTGAAATAATAATAATTCACCCACAAAAGCGCGCAAGGGAGCAAATTTTGGAATAAAACTGTTGATTCGCGGCCCAGCTGCCGCTTCTTCTTTTGCTGATATATAATATAATACTTTAGGAGACGCGCGATAAAATCTCGGCGAGAGGAGATTTAAACACAGATGCTGCTTGTCGTACATCTCAGAGAGCCATGTAAATAGAGTCGGGTAGTCCGCGATTAACATCTCTGGCCAGAAACTGTGTGGAAATTACTCATCGTTCGTTGTGCAGCTCCCGGTCTTTCTCATTTTCCGATGCGGTGGTCCGAAATTATATTCGGCGAGAGCGCCAACCTGCAGCAGATTGCATCTAATCAGATGGAGTTGCGTTTAAATGGCCTCGTATCGCTTTCGACGGCTTTATCAGTGCCAGTTTTAACAAAATATTTGTGTGATGATTTGATTCAAGAGATTGTTCCGCGATGAATGGCAATTATCTTTCTCCTTTTCAGAGTCTGCCGGTTCATATTTCAGCTAAATTGGAGCAGTAAAAACTTGATGTAACAGGAGCTTGTATGATTAAAAGCGATTAAAAGAAATCATCGTTGGAGATGAAGTAAGAAAATAATTTAGAAATTTATTGGTATGATACAGCAAAAGTTTTTTGATGATATTTAAGTTTTTTTATAAATGTTTTATAATAAAGAGGCAATAACGAACCATCAAAAAACAGAAATTCAAAGTTCATCATAATCAAAATCTGAACTTTCCCCAACCACTTACAATAAAGGGCACAGGCCGACAAGACTTTGTCTTGGCCTGACCCTAAAAAAATTAATTTAATTTATTGAGAAAAAAAACTAGTTTTTGCGCTATAGAGGAACAAACAACCCAGAAAATATTGTTTTCTGATTAAAGATTAAAATTGTTGTGAACTGTTAATTTCTTGAAATTGCTAAGCATGATTGTGATTAATTTTCTTTTCAAAGATTCAAAACTAGTCTCAACTAATTATAAAAAATGTTCATTTGATTAAAGTATCAACGAGGGCAAAGTACATTTTCTAAAGAATATTAAATAGATATATAAATTATTTCAATGTTTGATAATTTATTAACTGCAAAAATTTGCCTCTTCATTATATTTTGCCACGGAAATGTTTATTTTCCAGTTTCATTTCTCAGAAACATAATTATATAATATTTTCCTACCTAATGAAGCGGTTTGTTTATCTATCGGACACGATGCAAATTCCAGAAATTCGCATCTTTCTACGTGATTCGCAGGTGAAACTCCCGCTGAACGATATTTATTTTATTCTTTATATGTTTTCATTTATAAATACGGGCTGATTGTGTGTTGGTATGGGGCCCGCTGCTTCCACGTGGGTGATTGACAGATAAAAAGAGCGCGGCTATGTGGCACGATAGGACAATACACTTTTCTTGACCGACCCTGCCGCTGATGGAGCCGAAAGAGGGACCATCTCTGCTCTCGAGAAGAGAGATGCCTATCTCACGAGAAGCACGATATCGGACCTTTCAATCTCATCTCTCAGGTATTGTGCAAGAAGACGACCTGAAAGACAAGCAGCCCTATAAGCAGACTTGTAAAAGGGGTTCCATTCCGTCTCTGGAGCGGCAGCAGCCGCGCGTCTTTTCGTTCCGAGAGAGGGAGACCGAGATAAAATCTCTCAAAATACACGCGGACGGTGTGGGAAGAGGCGCATTTCAAAAGCGAATTCAGGTAAAAAATTGTTTCCAAAAGGCGGGAGGAGTGTAGGTGGGAGAGAGGGACGCACGAATTATGGGTCCCATCAAGCGTGTGGCTTACCATCGTGAATTAGGCACCTGGTAATTTGAGACTTTCCTGCCATTACGGCCGCATTAATAACAAAACTCGTCTGCAGTGATAAATAATTGGGCGTTCGAGGTGAAAAAGGCCTCAAAACAATGTGATTGATTCCCGTCCGCTCCACGTTTTATTGTCAGCGTGCCCCCAGAAGATTTGAAAAGGGGAGAAAAAATTTATAGAAAAAATAAGGACCACCACGGAATTATATGGTTTTTATTTTATCTCTTGTTGTGGTTTCCTCTACGATTTTGAAAGGATTGTAGCGAGTTTTGTTTCCTTCTCTCAACAATCAGTCAGGCGAGGACACGTGCAGATGAAAATTATCGTGTGCCACACAAAAAAGGTGGGAGAGATGTATTTTTCTTTTTTATTTATCATTATATAATAGCAGATAGTTTAAATTTATTCGAAACATTTGAAGAAAAGAAATATTGTTGGAGGAAGCATCATTTATTATTAATACAATTTTAAAAACAATGACTACGAAATCAATATAGAAAATGGATCTTCTGATGCAGTTCTTTGCTAGGTTGTGGTTGTATGAATGTTTTATGCTAGTAGAGAAGCATAATATTTTTTTTTTAATTGTCAGTTTGGGAAAAGAGCTGTGGAATAGTTTATTATTACAATCGACTGCTAGTTACTTGGGGGGGGGGGGGGGGGATTTACTATTTTTTTTACTTAAGAATAAGAAAAAGGTATCGCAAGTATTCCGACATTAATTTTTTTAAGCAAAATGTATCTTAAACTAACAATAACTAACTGTTTGCGAGAAAAGTGCCGATATTCTTATTAAAAGAGGCGCAGTAACTCTCAAGAGAAAAATTGAACTTCATTTCTGATATTCTTATTCTTTAATTGCTTTGTATATTAAATTTATCAAATTAGAAAAGAAAACAATCCACAAAAGAAGTTACGATTGTTAAAATTATTATGTACTAATTGTAAAAAATATATTTAATTTGTATAGTTTGAAGTTATTTTTATTTTTTAGAATAAAAATAATTTTTGTTTTTATAGTTTTTATATTTATTATTTATTTATATATTTTTTGCCCAATAATAAGTCATTGTAAATAGAGAATTTGAATAAATGGATTTGTATATAATAGAATTACCCATAACTGTTAAAAGTTTGTTTTATCTTGTTATGTAACAAATTTAGGAGGATGGATTCTCCAACAACTATAACATAATCTATAAATGTGAAGTATTTATTTTGCTAAAAATTTGTTTTTTAGTTTTTATCAAGACTTACGTATTATTAATATTAAAGTTTTGCGAAGCATGATTTTTTTTGTACTAAAAAAATATTTTTATAAATTCCAGAAATTTCCAGCGAGCTTATGGCTTTCGTGCTGTGGATTTCGCCTCACATTTCACCCAAGCTCTGATTTTTATCCAAATTGCCCTGCTTCCCTGGGGGTAGCACGTGCGCGTCTCGACTGCCAGACTTAATCACCTGGCGAAAAAAATCGGCAAGTACTAAAGTAAAAAAGCTTTTTAAATTTTATATTGCATTAAAGGATTACCTCGGGAAGAATTGGACCGCTGCCTTTATCCCGAGCAGGTGCTTTTGTATAAGACCAAAGTGCGAAAGTGAAAATTAGCATATTATTATTCGCGTGCGTCTGCTGTGGTAAGGCACAAAACGCCGGCAAAAAATACTCAACACCTGTACCAAGGATCAAATATCGCCCGCGTCTGTTGGCGGATTTTCTTTCCTCCTTTAATGCACGCAACCCCCGAGCGAATGTACTTGAGGGCTAAGGTAATTACTCGTCCGGTGCAATAAAATTAGCCTGTTTTTTTTCTGACATAGTGAATTTCGTGATTAATTGCGCGGCTGTGGAAAAATGGGGAAAATATGCAAAGTGCGGCGGGATTCCTCACATTTTCAATTCAAAAGTTTGCTATGCAAAAAGAATTTCACCTTGGGTTAAATTATGACGGTTCAAATTGTGTTTGGGCGTATATAATTAAATCGCAATTACGCGCCACTGACAAAGAAAATAAAAGAGAATTGTCCAGGAGAAAAATTGATTCTGCGGCTGAATGCATTATTCTTCCAGACTCCTTCTAGGGTTTTGGACTTCAGTTCAAAAAATCAAACCGAATTTCTTATAGTTCAATTCTGATATAAG